GTAGTAGTGCACTAGTACAGTAGTACAGTAGTAGTACAGTAGTACAGTAGTAGTACAGTAGTAGTACAGTAGTAGTACAGTAGTAGTACAGTAGTAGTACAGTAGTAGTACAGTAGTAGTAAAGTAGTAGTACAGTAGTAGTAGTCGTCGTCGTCACCGCCGTCATCGTAGTCGTAGCAGCAACAGGAGGAGTCGGAGTAGGAGTAGCAGTAGCAATAGCAACAGCAATGCAGTAGCATTCAAGGTAGCAGCGGCAGTAGTAGTCGTCGTGTCGGTGCTGGTGGTGGCAGTGGCAGTGGCAGCGGTGGTAGTGGCAGTAGTAGTAGTAGTAGTAGTAGTAGTAGTAGTGGTAGTAACTGTAGCAGCAGCAGCAGCAGTAGCAGCGGTTGTTGTTACTGTTGTTGTTGCTGCTGTTGTTGCTGCTGCTGCTTCTGCTGCCGCCGTTGCTGTTGCGGTGAATGCTGCTGCTGCTGCTGCTGCTGCTGTTCTTGTTGCTGTTGCTGTCCTGGTGGTGGTGACGGTGGCGGTGGTGGTTGTCGTGTTGTTGTTCCGTGTCAGACCTTTGACGGATTAGTGAATAGTGTACAGCTTGTAAGAATTGTTTGCTCAGCTCTAGCAGACTTCGATCTTTCGCGGGCGTCCCTCTTTGTTCTGAGCCCCGGACAGCTCGCAGGGCTCCTGGAGCGTGCGGAGAAGGCAAACACCTCGGACGAGGCTTTCAAGGACTCCGAGCTCTGACCAGGCCAAAGGAAGGCGGTTACCCGTGTTTGCAGCATGAGGCATCCCTACCATCATGAGGCTCAGATGCTTCCAGTTTTCCACTCTCCATCTGGCTCTCACGTACCGTACACTCATGTGGGCTTGCTCAGCGCGTCATGCCAGTTCAGCTGAACAAAGCCTTCATGGGACCTCCGGGGAGAGCAGGAGTTCGGCATCCGAGAGGGCGTGGCCATGTGCCAGAAGCTTGGCTGCAGGAATGGCAGCATTATTCTGCGCTGGCGAACACTTTCCGAGGTTGCCAGGAGGGACCCACTGTAGGCCTAGAAGAGCCGCTTCCCCAGTCCAACCCACGCAGCCCCCAATGGCCCAATGTGCCTTTGCTGCAACTGTCAACCTGCTACCCCAACCTTCTTTCCCAAATCACGCCGCCAGTCACATGCATGAGCCTGTCGACTGCCGAGCCTTGAAATCTACAGGCCATGTTGAGGGCTACAGTAAAATGTGTTTCACATGGTCATGATGGGCATGCACCTATACGGCAGAAGAGGGCTCAACCTGGCAAAGCTTTATGAACCATTTGAACCTGGGATCTCAGCAGACTCTCTGGTCTCCGCTTTCTACTCCTTCGAAGCCTTGAGCCTCTTCGACAGTGGAGAAAGTCCTTTTCTTGGGCTTTCGGGAGCCCGAGGAAGCTCCTGGACGGTGGTGCCCCAGGCCTGCATTTCTACACCTTGAACCTGGAGAAGGCGAGACCTGAGAATTTCGACTTAGAGAGTGTTCATTCGGAATCAGGTTCAAGCTGCATGCCACATCCTAGCTCCTTTGCTGCCTCGAGGGGCGGGTATCACCATTGAGTGCCCATGAACCTCTCCTGGATTCAGCCATTTCAGGTGGTGGTTGGCATCCTCAAGGGCCTGGGAAAGATCAGCGACGCCCAGGCTGCTGCCTTCCAGTCCGCCGCGTGCTTGGGCACTTCCGATGACGACTCGAGGGCCCAGCACCAAAAACCCATAAACAATCCTAAACCCCTGCAGGGCGTGGTGTGGAAAGAGACTCCGATTCGAGGTTCGCTCCGAGAGTCCCAGTTCTGTCTCTCCACGTGTTCTCACCAGGCTCCATCCTAGATCGAAAATGCAGAAGGCAGAAAGTACGTTGCTCGGGGCATTCTGAACATGCCTGGAAACATAAGCTATTCCTTGCAGCCTTCTCCCGCGTTCAACAGGAAATCAATGCTGCGTCGCGAGAAGCTGAAATGCTGTACGTATTTTGATACTCTGGAAGCTGCAGGGTCAATGAAGACATGCCTCTCTCCGTCGATCATGAGCAGCCCAAGGTCGAGGCAGATGCGAAGTTCATGGTCTCTGCACAGGGCATCACCACCGGAACGCAGGCCCGGATGAGTAGGTTGGAAGGCGCTTGACACTCTATTGAATCTATTGTTGCACTCGCTGCGATGTGTACTTCGAAGATTTCGGACACACTCGCCGAGCGAGCGAATCATGCACAGTTCAGTTGTCCGAAAACGTTGATCAACTGTCACCGTGTGGTCACAGAGGGAAGCCATGGAGAGCAGAGCATAGCAGGGCTCACCGGCCGGAGCAGAGAGCTCAGCCTCAGCTTCCAGCTAGCCTCGAACAGCCTTCCCGGGCGCGGATCGTGGGATTCGAGCGGTCTCGTGCTCGGAGGTCTCCAACAGGCCAACTCTCCCGGGCAACAAGCCGCTGAAGGAGGCAGATCCCGTGATGCTTCCTGGCTGCAGCTCAGATCAGGGCAGGAGATGGAGACATTCAGCGAGTGCGATTGTCGTTTGGGCTGACAGCCCTTCGGGGCTCGACGTCTTGAAATTCCCGACAACGTCAGCTTTGCAGCAAGTCCTACTGTCGAGTGTGCAGTTTCAGGTTCGACCTCGTCCAGCAGGAGAAGGCCAGGCAGACGCGCTGCCCGGTGAGCAGGGCCAGAAGCGTCCCACTATTTCACAGGTGCCAAATACTCTATGGAATACGGTGAAAACGGACAAACTGCGGGCTTGTAGGATTGGAGGTAGTAGCAGCACACACAAGTCTAGCATTCCGGATCTTCACACCCTTCCGCACCTTCAGATGCGTGCCTTCGCATGCAGTGTTGTTCATACTGGTCAGCTTGCAAGCCACTAGTCTAGGCAATGGCATCCGAGGCTGCATCGAGCTCATCGCGTCAGAGAACTTCACTTCCCGAGCCGTCATGGAGTGCCTGGGTTCAGCCCTCACGAACAAGCGCGGTGCCCAGCCAGGGTGGAAGCGCGCAGACACTTCGTTGTCTGCAAGGGTGGCCGGAGCCGGTGTCCATCATTGTTGCTCACTCAAGGTAAAGGCATAGCCTTTCGATATGCTTGTTGGTGAACAGCCAGGTATTCTGAGGGCCAACCTGGAAACCGTTACTACGGCGGCAACGAGGCCTGGCTTTCCGTCGACATGTACAACCCGACTGGGCACTCCTCAGATGTGCATGCGGTATCTCCCATGCTTCGGTACGATATCGTTGAATACCCGATTGAATTCGCTGATGTTGCAGCTGATGATGACCATGATCATGATCATGATGATCATGCTGCTGATGATGGTGATGATAGTGAGAATACCGATGCTGATAGCAGTTGTGCCGGTGGACGGGCTACGGCTCCCATGCGACACTGGTGAACCACGGTAGCCATTCAACCTATTGGCGGTGACTGTTCGAGCAGGCCTGTGAATATCCTGGGAGGTGATCGACAAGGTGGAGAACCTTTGCAAGGACCGCGCCTTGAAGGCATTCGGCTTGGACGAGAAGGCATGGGGCGCGTCCTGTCTGCACCGGAAGGGGAACACCTTGGCAGAAAGGATTCCGCTCCGTCAGCGTTCCGGGCAATGAAGTTTCAGCTGAGGTCAACGTCCAGCCATATTCTGGCAGCCCTGCGAACTTCGCCGTGTACACAGCTCTGCTGCCGCCGCATGCCAGGCCGCTTTTCGTCCTTCCGGGGTGGCAGGACTTCGCCGCAGTTCGATAGAAAATGCTTTCATGGAAGCCAAGCTGTTGCTTCCAAGTCGCCTTGTCTTGACAGGGTCATGGGCCTGGACCTGCCATCCGGTGGGCACTTGACCCACGGCTACTACACGGCCAAGCGGCTCGCCGCACCCATGCGTTGCCGTGTGCCGTGCGAGGGCAAAGCGCCCGGAGCCCAGGAAGAAAATCTCCGCCACCTCCATCTACTTCGAGTCCCTGCCCTACCGGGTGCACCCCGAGCCTCGGCGCTGGCCCTGTCAAGACAGTTGGCTCATCTCTACAACATGTGCATCATAGGTCCAGAGACAGACTAAACGACACGATGTGCGGTGCACGGCACGTTTTCTCCGACGGTGCGACTGCATTGTGAGGAGACTGGGTTGATCGACTTCGATGAGCTGCGAAAGACTGCTCTAGTCTTCCGCCCGGCCATGCGCCCTGGTTGATGTTGGTTAACGTCCGCTTGATTCCTCAATGAACCGGACTCGTCGACACCCCATAAGATTTGGATATGATGGCTGGGTGAAGACCGCATGGCAACTCAGAGAGCCAAACGCTGAAGTGCTGCAGGATCTTGTGCGGTGCCTCCGCCTACCCTCGTATCATCGACTTCGGCAAGTTCAGGGAGATTGCAGACGAGGCGATGATTTGGGCTCGCTTGGCGGAACAGCTGCAGCGCAATCACATGCTCTTCCAAGCCGCCCCATCGAGACAGTCAGACATATCGCCTACAGGCTACAGTCAGCTGAGCTCTACAGCCTCTGCATGTTGACCGCCCTGTTGAAAGGTGGGTGCGATCCTGATGGCCGATATTGCTCACATCTCCGGCCTCGTTGCGACAGGAGATGCCGGGCCGGGAGCTGCAATGTTCTTTATTGATGCATGGGGCGTGGCTTGCAAAAACTATTGTTACGCATGATTCATACTGGCTTTGCGTATGATTTTAGTGCCCGTTTTGCTGCAAGTGGATTAAGTGTCAGTGTTTCCCTCATCCAGGAGAGCACCCTTCTCCTTTCGAGCACTGCGACATCGTGACCACCACCACCCACAAGCCCCTTGGCCTGAACTCCGCAGGTACGTGGCTGCATGCCTGCAGAACCTGATGTGTAGCAGATAGCATTATGGACAAAATCACTTAAAAGTGTCTTGAAGTAGCTCGTGCAGCTTTTGGCCTGAGCCCCTGCACTCAGGAGTTCGGGACTCCCAATCTAAAGTTTGGCTCGGTCTGAAAACACTGAGAAGTTGGAACCCAGCCTTGGCGCAGACTCGCACAGTCTCAGGTCGTTGCGTGGTCCGCGAGCCGGCATGATCTTCTTCAAGTACACAGACAAGATCCCGGACATCAAGGAGCCCGGGAACCACGACGCCGAAACCAGCAGACTTGCACCACCTCCAATCCTTTATTCGCCGCCTCCTCTTCCTCCTCTTATTCCACTGCCTCCACTAATCTTGGCCAGTCCAAAAACCGATCGCCTTGTCCCAAGCTTTGTCAGCGACACCGTCATAGAATTGGAGATGCCGACCCCCGACCCCTCCACCGCATGTGTGCTTTAAGCACAGGAAAGAGCAATCGAAGCTGTTGAGGAGCGAATCGACATGGCCGTCTTCCCGGCCCTGCAGGGCGGACCCCACAACCATCAGCGCCTCAGGGGCAAATGGACCGTAGGATCCCTAGCAATGGTGACTTTCGAGAGTGCCTTGCAGAGGATCGGTGCTTTGGCCGCTCAGCTCTTGGAGGCAGAGACTTCGGTGGTTTCGCTACCAGCTTTCTGAGGGTTTCAGGATGTTTTAAAGTGTTTGGATGTCAGTTGGGCTGTTTGAAGCCCGTCTCAAGAAGATCACTGCTATGCTTGGTCCGGGCGGCTTTGCAAAACCGCTCTCGGTCTTTGTGACTCGTGTTTGTGCGCGACGCAGGTTGACAGCCCCATGTTCAAGGAGTATGCCAAGCAGGTGAAAGCCAACGCCAAGGCCTTGGCAGACACCCTCATGAGCAAGGGGCCTCTCGCCAGCAAGTCTTCAGGACTATGCTGCGGCTTACATTGGCATAATTTGGCTTACATGAGGTTTGGTGAGTAGATGTTGGGGATTGTCTTGCTGTCACAAGGCTGCAATGCGAGGATGGGAGATTCATTGATACTTGTGGTCGCTCGAACGGCAGCTCTGCACTCTCCAGACAATCCATACAAAGGAGTTTGGGCAATTTCTGGCCTGGGTCCATCCTTTGTTTCTCTATTTCTATCTTCAGCCACACAGTCCGTGGCAGGTGCAGGAGGCCCACTGGCATGTCCCTTGTCACGTGCCCTTTTTGAGTGGTACATTTGTTCATATGCAGGATCATCTGGCGTGCTTGTCCTAATCTTCAGAGTTTTCAGCCCAGGCACAAGCTTGCGAGTGACGGCACCGACAACCACTTGCTGCTGTGGGACTTGTCGCTCGGCGGCCTCGAGCGGCTTTAACACGGAGCCCTTGATTCCTCACGCAGCCAGCCCAGAAGCTTCAATGCTTTCAAACCCCACAAGCGCTTCCAAGTAAGGTCATCAGAAACTTGACCACAACAGATCACAACAGTACATTCCGACCGTGTCACCTGATTCGAAGCTGCTCTCCCTGCTACCCTGCTACGAACGTTTGGCTGAATTGTTTGCCATGTATGACTGTCGCTGCAATTGCTCGAATGTCGTGGATAGCGGCAGTGAGTTTGCGGTAGACCTCTGAGGCGACCTCACGGACTCACGGGCTCGAAGGCATCTTTGTGTTCGTGCCCACAAAGCCTGCGAGCCTGGCTCCACTTGACAAGGAACTCTGTAGGATTCTGCGAAGTTGGCAATGCGTGGAAAGCATCTGGCTGCATGGTCAGATGTCAGTTACAATGAATGGGTGAACGGCCCTCTGGACAGGTGGAGAAGATCTGTGAGGCGGCATCGATCACTTTGAATCTCGGCTTGGTTGGCTGTGTGCCCGGTGCTCAAGCTAGTCACCAGTGGAGCCGCGCATCCGCGCCTACAGCACTGCGCCAAGGAATCGAAACGCGGTGCACGGCGATGCATCAGCTCTGGCCCCGGGAGGCCGCCGAAGATCCGGCACACCAGAGTGTGTTTTGCCTTGCAACGAGCCGTGTGTCAGGAGTTCGCGTGGGAGCCCCCGCGATGACCACTCGCGGCTGCACTGAGCAGGACTTCAAGACCATCGGCGTCTTGGCAGCTTTTTCGAGCAATCGGGTCAAGTATGGTCAAGTCATCAAAGCATAGCAGCTTGGGCAGCCAGCTCAGTTAGATCCCATGCTGATTCCAGCAACCTGAGCGCTGGGCCCGAAATGCAGAGTGTGGAGCACCGAGCTGTTTGCCCTCCCCGCCCCGACTGCTCGTTCCGAAATCCTAACTGTAGACAGTAAGCAGCCCTGGAGAAAATCCGGTGAAATTGCAAGGTGACTTCCTTGACCGGTGTTGCCAACTGGCACTGAAGATCCAAGCCGAGAAAGGCAAGAAGTTGAAGGACTTCGAGGCCCGGAATTCACGCGGCACCCGAACATTGATTTCCTCTTCTCAACAGGTCAAGGGGGTTAGGGACAGCCTTGCGCAGTTTGGGTAATTACACCACCGTCGCCCGACTAGTACCCAATATCCATAAAAATACTTTATCCTATAGACTTCATCCTACTTTGAGGTGGTGTGATTCCCCAAAACGGGCAAGCTTAGGTTGTTTCAGTTTGTGGGTCATAGTATGGTAGTGGGGGGGCTTCGACGAGCCAGCAGTGTGGTCTGCAGTAATCACGCGGACACTTGCAATGGCGACTTCTTCAACAGGTCTTCCCTGCAAGTTTGAGTGCCAGAGCATATTATTATTACTCATTCTTAGAAAGAAGCTTATTGCTTTTACCCGTGTATATATATATATATAGATTCTATCGGGGTGTTGTTGAGTAAACCTCGTTGTCTTTGGGATCTGGAAATACAGGCCCTGAAATTAGGAAGGTGTTTGGCCCTCTTCCTTTAATTAAATAAAGATAGCGTCAACTGCTTCTGTTGTAAATTCAGAAAAATCATATCATAAGTCATAAGGAAACTAAAACAACTACTGAAAATAATCGAGTTATTGCTAACGTTGCTGAAGATAGAAGCAGTTTTAAAATGGAAATAGGGGGAACAAATTCAGAAGATGATATATTAGACCTGATACGACACATCAAAGTGGAGGCATCGAGGTATTTAGCACAGGGTGGGCATCACATAGGAACATGACACCTGAAGAAACAGTGCTAGATAAGATAGAAGAAGATACAGTAAGGATTGATAAAGATGTTGGTACATTGCAAAAACGAAAAAACTAAACAGTATGGGTTGATATTCAAGAACATTTTTTGCAATATACTTTGACAGTATACAGTCAGTTTTGTTCCCAAATCAGGCTACTGCGTAGGGAAAACGCCACACCATCGGCCGTCGGCTTGCGACCTTCGCGACGCCACCCACCATGAACTGAAGATGTGCAACAACAAGGAAATCCCCCTTTTCGATCCCAGAAGAATAAATTATGAGTGCAAACATGAAAGGGGAGTATTGCTATACGCTTGCATAATTGGTGCTACATAAGATAACACAGTTAGTTAAAACTTGTACCATAAAAGTTGTATTACAAACGCTTTCATTTAAAAGCTCAACCACTGTATAAATATATGGATGATAAACCTGAGCTCAAGCAAGATGCTATACTGAGATTCGGGAGAATAGAGAAGATACTTAATTAAAGATTCACACGAAATTTAAACAGAACATTCGCTGAAGCCACCTATGAGAACAAGAAATGTATACGTGAATAATTGAGGAACGGCGATACGTTTGCAACCCAAACCTAGTACCCTTGAGTATTACAAGACAATTTATAACGGAGAATAACCTACTCAAAATATTATCATGCAGTAATCATGAAACACTTAGATGATAATATTGTTGTGTAATTTCCTACTGGTAGTGATTGTAAAACAAGATACATTCAATGCATTACATTTACACAAATAAAACAAACAGATGAGTTCAAAAGGACGAAATTAGAGCAAGTATACAATGAAACATGTCGTGCTTGTATAGACAGAAGTATACAATATAGGTTATAGGTGAAAAGAGAAGGAATGGATTCAGGGAGTTCTTTCAACAACGCATTCTTAAGAAACAGCACTTAAGAAATAGCTGCAATGGAAATGAGTGACAGTGAATATGAAAACGAGAGTGATTATGAAAGTGTAAGTGAAGATGAACCCGGAATGTTTTATCAAGAAGTAAGTAAGTTTACATGTTTCAAGAATTGTACTTTGTGCAAACAAGTGACGAACAGACAACAAATCATATTGGGTAAACGTGATGTCTTAAATAATGTTACACTTATGATTTCAGACTACTTTTGTTGTGACAAGTGTTGTAGATTACAGTGCTTACTGGATGATTACATTTATCCGTTTACTAAAACCTTCAGCTATCCAGATTGTTGTGAGGTTCATAGACTACTGAAGACTTTACAGATAAAGACAATTACACACAAGAGATGCTTATTGAAATGAAAAGCATGTATGAAAACTTAAGGACATCTACAAGTCTAAGTGGCACCAAGAGAAGAAAGAGCATGTTTAAAGACATGTTATGTGCGTATTTCCGTTATTATCAGAGAATATATAAATTCTGTATTTTGATAATTTCTGACATAAGAAAATAAAAGGAGCAGACATCAAGTTACCCTTACGAACATCAAGAGGAAACAGCCAGGTCCATAAGGAAAATGATTTGTAGATAGCTGTGTATATGTAACTTACCAATGATAACTTAATACTCAATTTCAATTGTTATTGAATGCACCACCCCTACCCATACTATGACCCACAAACCGAAACAACCTAAGCTTGCCCGTTGTGGGGAATCACATCACATTGAACTAGGATGAATTCTATAGGATAAAGTACTTTTACAGATATTGGGGAATTGGGCGACGGTGGTATAATTGCCGAAACTGGGCAAGGCTATCCCTAAGTGAGGGACGCAGAAGCTATGTCGGGCTGACGGATTCAAGTATATATTGGATAAGGAGAGGCCAGGTCAGCATCAGGACGGCAGAATCGTCTTGTCACCATTCCAGATAGTGACACTCTCGAAACGGCAACTTACAAGCCCCAATCGGCACCACTGCTTCGCAGGCTGCCATTCCGAGCAACCAGGAGGTTGCCGCGCTGAAGAAGGAGGTCGCGACACAGCTTTTTGCAACCCAACGTTGAGCACCAAGGAGCTTTGCTAATCGGCTCCCGGTTGCGATCATCCTGTTGATGCACGAAAGCAGCGACCTGTTGGTATCTTAGGTTGTGTCAAGGCTCGTCAACATGACGTTCACGACTGATGCCATCGGATGTTAAGGACCTGTCGTCTTGAGTTGGCCATAGTAGCTACTTGGATCAGAGGGCCGCCATGATCGGCCAAGCTGTGCTCCTGGCACGACCAGAGCTAATAGCAAGCTTACCCTACTAAACGTGATAGAGCATCTGTCTTTGGCATGGGCGCAGGTGGAGGCCTGGGCCAGCAAGTTCGGATACCCTGGGCTCTAGGGCATCGGCCCTTTGGCACGAGTGAGCATAGTGCTGCACAGTCTGTGATGTCCCTCATCGGCCTCGGCCATGGGAAATGACACTAAATTTTCACCAGGCCACCTGAATTTTGTGTTTTTGGGTGCTGCGTAGCACCGAACAGTCCCTAGCGGCCCAAGTCAGGCAGTAGACCGAGTACATGGAACGTGCGATTCTTGGATATCACAGTGATCGAAGATGCGGCAAGCTTGCTGTTTTCCCGCTGCCGTTAAACATGGGCTTCTAGACATCGAAGCCTCAGAAGTTCGGAAGTTCGAAGCTTCTGAGGTGGGTTGAAGTGGCGATTTAGCGATCGATGTACTGACCCCGCCAAACCCCATGCTTCAGACCGTTGGCAGCGTGTGTGGAGTCCGGCGCAAGTCTTCCTGGGGCTCCCGGATCCTGCCAAGTTGGTCTCAATTCCAATCCTGACCGGCGTAGGAGCCAAAAAAGTCAGAGCTTCCGGATTCCGGACTCGACTCTGTCCTTGGGATTCCGTTTGTAATCACTCTGTTCTCCAAGAGCTTGTCCCCAAGCCTTCGCAGGATGGACAAGACTACGTCCACCGGATTGGCCGGACCGGCCGTGCTGGGCGTAAGGGAAATGCCATCACCTTGCTGCGAAAAGGCCCTTTGCCCATTGCTGGACTCCCTAGTTCGCGATTTCGGGTCTAAGCCTCTCGTTGGGATTAAGAGTGCTGTCTGGGGTTCTGACTTGAATGAAACATATGGGAGACACCCATTGAAAGCGCTTTCGACCTGGGAGGCCCCGATGGGCAGGGAGCTCAAGAAGTTGAAAAGGGCCTGTGGCAGACACGGTGTCATCAGATTCCAGCCTTCCTTCTAACTCCAGCTTGGGCTGGAAGCAGGTTCTTGCGAATCTGCGACAGCGTGTGATTACTATAGCGACTGCCGAGCATTCAACCCAAGGCATGCCATGATCTTCATCACACAGGCGCCAGCTGCGCCCGCAGTCAGCTGAGGGTTGTGGCTATGGCATGACTCGTGAAATTTCCGCATCGAGCACCGGGTCCGGGTTGGAGGCTTTGCCTGTTTTGGTGACGCTTCGTTGACAAGCCTCAGCTTTCCATCCGCACACGTTCGCTGCATTATTGGTTCCAGTTCGGGCTCGGAGTATCAAGCTCAGCAGTTGTCGCCCCCGAAATTCGTGGCAGGTCATGCGGCGCACGGGGCTAGATGTTCCGCAGGCCTGCTGGCTCTATGTACAGCAATTGTTTAAGTCTTCATGCCCAGGATACAGTAGAATGTCCAAACCTTGAGGACATTTGACATAAGCCAAGTTGTGCTGATGATTGATGGGTGATTTTGGCCTCTCACTCTCAGTCGTGGAAGCAAAGCTGTGCTGATACAACTCTTCGAAAGGGTTTGGGTTGGTGGGCGGTCAAGCGGAAGGATTCTTGGAAGCCCTCCAGTCATCGCAACAGGTAATACAGAGTTTTGGTCAGGGATTCCGAAAGCTTTGATGCAAGACTGAAGCCGCAGTTTGATCCCTCTACTAGCCTGTTACCATGGCTTAGATTTTTCTGCGGGCTGGCCAGTGCTTTGCATTTTGAGTCACCCTACCCTGGATATCCCAGCAACGTAAACCGTGGGTGCTTTTCGTTGTTGAACTCTTAGCCCGGTGTCCGGTGCCTGGGACTGCGTAGTCAGCCTTTTTAGCGGCAGGACCTTATCGAAGCCCTGAAGCAGCGGCGGGGTCGCGACATGAGCCACTGCCTTTGAATTGCCTTGACTGGTTGGTTTAGGCAAACTGCTGTGTTGCAGCACCCCACAGCAGAGCGATGAAGTGTCGGCCGGCCATGCACTTGAGCATGTCAAGCGTGTGAAGCCTGCAATGCGTTAGACGGCAGTGGTGTCTTAGAGTCTTGTACAGTGCCGACTCATCTCTGATGGGCGGAAGGCTGATCTAGCAACCCCCTGATCCCTGCGGTCGCACCCAGGCTTGGCCGCGGAGGTCCTCATGGGCATCACGAACCAACAGAAACTCGAGCGAAGCCGGACCCTGGACTGGAGTCTTTCCGTCAGTCAGACACAGAGTTACCGAACTCAGTTACCTGAATTGAGAGCTCAGTATCTTGGCATCGTCACGTCTTTCGGCACCTGCCATCTGCATGTCGGGGGTTAACTTGCACACTCGGGCTCTTACAGCCGGCAGGTTGGGCGAAAGCCATCTGACTGCGTGAACTTGTGGTTGTGGCCGTGACGAGGCACTTCAGCAGCACACTACCCTACATATCCCTACACCAACCCGCCATGTAGCCTTCCAACCCCCTCTTCAGATTCACAAGCCCATTCGGCAAGGGCAGTGTGGTTTGGTTTTTGCGAGCAGGCAGTGCCCTGGGTGACAGAGAGGCAAAAGCTACAATGTCCTTGGATTCGTGTGGAGTCAACAGGCATGATGGATCATTTCACTGATCATTTCCAAGCGAGCATTGACAGCTGACATAATGTAGCAGGCAGCTCAGGATCGCAGGGTTCGAAATCAGGGCCCAGGAGCCTCAAATTGATGCGACTCGTAGGCTCGAGTCCTTCGCGTAAGATGAGGGCCCCTTTCCGGTTGGGGAAATCCAGTACTCAGTAATTACCGCCTTTCCAAAGCTTCTTGTTGTTCAGCCATCTGGCTGGTCTAGCTGTGCTAATCTGACTCAAGATTGGCCAGGCAATCAACGACGACAGGTGGGCACTTCGTGTGTCTGCTTAAACGCATCAGATTTCACACGATATCCTAACTTTATGCTCCCGGATTGGACTACATGTGACTGCATCTCACACTGAGTATCTCCCTCCGAAACGGTGTAGATTAAAGGAGCCACCTGGTAAACAGACGATTCCATTCCGCGAACTGCAGGGAAGCTAAGGATTACAGGAAGCATTTCCTGCTTTGCCGCAATCCCAACCGGTGAACCAACGAGAGTTAAGAGAAGGATGGTGAGAGCTGTGCACGTAAGCAAGCTCGGATACAACCAAGCTCGGTTACTAGACAGTACTAGGCATCAGCTTTGCCATCGTCAATGCTTGCTAACCGGTGGTACCTCTGCTTCAAAGATTGGTTTTTTGGATGGGAACACCCTTAGCACTTGTCCCTCTGAGGCAATAGTATCACGCTTGGGAGGTACTCTCTCATGGTGTTAATGGTGCCAGTTGGTAGAAGAAGTGGTTGTAGGGCGCTGGATCTTGTATCCAAGGTGAGCATGTCTTCGGGCGTCTGTGCGTAGTTTTAGTCGGCTGCTGGAGCTCTCGAGCGGATCTCTTCACTGCATTTTGCAGCTGGCCCAAGCCTCGAAGAGCTTCTCTCTTGCAACGCCCTCTTCCAGCCAGCTGCTCCTTTGCTTCAGATGCGTAAGTTGAAGGTCGAACTGGCTCGCGAGTCGATTCCTCGAGTTGATCACTGAAAGCTAAGCCTGAAGATGTTGAAACGGCGCATCAGGTCATGGCTGCTACCAGGCCAGTCCTCTCTGGCAACAAGCCCCTGCAAGAGGCAGATCCGGTCATGCCTCTTGGCCTCATGCGAGTCCGGGTGTGTTCTACCGATTCTCGATCGTGTCTCGGCCGGTATAGATCGAATGAAGCTGGCGCCTGTGATTTGCAGCCTGTTACAGACGTGGCATGTTCAGGCTCTCGCATGGCTCCTGTCGTTCTTGTTTGCCTGGTTAACTTTCACTGCAGCAAATGCCTACATGTCCGTGCCGGATGCACTGCAGACATGGACGTCATAAGTGGTTCGAGCATGCATGCTCGCCTGTCGCCTTAAAGCATGATCAAATTTTGCGCCCTGCTAACCCTTGACGATGGCAAGCTGAAGCCATCAACCAGAACGACGGGGATTGAGGGTAGGCTCTGATGATAGGGACCATGGCCGGAACAGTTTGAGGTACGACCTTGTCCAGCAGGAGAAAGCCAGGCAGACGAGCAACTCGTCCAGCAGGGCTGCCGTGCTCGTGGTCGTTGTAGAATTTGTCTGGTTTTGCTACGGCGGAACGAGGGATTGCTATTCGTCAGCCGGAATAGCAATCAGACTTATCGCTGGCTGCACAGCTTCTACCCGACAGAAGAATAAACAGGCAAACGACTTCCGAGGATGCATCGAGCTCATCGCGTCGGAAAACTTCACCTCCCGAGCCGTCATGGAGTGCCTGGGCTCGGCCCTCACGAACAAGCCTGGCCCCCAGCCCAGCCACAAGTCAGCGCTTTCCCTTTCCCTTACCCTGCCGTCATGTTGCCGTGAGGTATTCCGAGGGCCAGCCTGGAAACCGTTATTACGGTGGCAATGAGGCTCGACTTTGCCGACGTGCGACGACAAGTACAGGGTGGATCTCTGCAAGTCAGTACCCTTCTATGAAAGTGCTCAAGATGCCATCGCTCAAGTCTTTGCTGCTGAGAGGGTGTTGGTGGGGTGGTGACAGGGTGCTGCTGCTGCCTTTGCTGACCGGCCGTCCGTCCCAGTAGTGACGGAGGGTGATTGTGTGGTCAAGCAAGTCTCCCAGCTGGGAGGTGATCGACAAGGTGGAGAACCTGTGCAAGGACCGCGCCTTGAAGGCATTCGGCTTGGACGAGAAAGCATGGGGCGCGTCCTGTCTGCACCGGAAGGGGAACAGGACGTGGCAGAAAGGATTCCGCTCCGTCGGCGTTCCGGGCAATGAAGTTTCAGCTGAGGTCAACGTCCAGCCATATTCTGGCAGCCCGGCGAACTTCGCCGTGTACACAGCTCTGCTGCCGCCGCATGCCAGGCCGCTTGGCGCGTCCTTCCGGGGTGGCAGGGCTTCGCCGCAGTTCGATAATATAATATGCTTGCATGGAAGCCAAGATGTTGCTTCCATGCCCCCTTGTTTTGACAGGGTCATGGGCCTGGACCTGCCATCCGGTGGGCACTTGACCCACGGCTACTACACGGCCAAGCGGCTCGCCGCACCCATGCGTTGCCGTGTGCCGAGGGCAAAGCGCCTAGCGGTCCTAGCGGCACCC